TTGTCGGAACAACTCAAGAGATCTTCGTAGTAAGTCGTAGAGTCGGACTGACTCAAAGCGTCGCCTTCGAACGGATGTTTCTGTATTCTCTTCAAGGTACAAGCCTGAAACGTTGAAACAGATTCGATGAGAAACGAGACGGGAGGAGGACGTCGAAGAGAAAGAGAAAGACCGCGGTGTTTTCGGTTAAACGCGAAACGTAAAATTTTCGGAAACTACGGACTGACCCTTCTGTAACTGATAGTGGCCAAGTAAAACAACAAGTGATTAAGCGGCACAGCTTGTAGAAAAGTGACGGCTCTCTGAAGCGCGGTAGCGGTCGACAGTATGTCCAAGGGAGCCGGTTCCGGCGGAGCGGAGGAATCGGCGATCGCTTCGACGGAAACATCCTCCAGCAGAGCGCTCATCAACGCGAGAGCGTGAGAGGCCAAAGCAACCGAGAGTACTCCAAAACCTTGTTGACTGAAACCCAGAGATTTCCAATTGCTCTCGAACGTTTCGATCAAGGCGAATCGAGTCAAGTCGGCGCTCGTTACGATCGTCGTGAAAATTTCAACGACCACGCTCGACGATGTATCTTACATTTTCGTAAGGTTGACGCGAATCGTTCCGTCGCGCGCTTTGCTGGGCGATTTACCCTTCTCTTCTTTCCCCTTGTCCGCTGCGCTCAAACCGCTGACGGTGAGTTGAGCTTGCAAACCAGCCACCAACAACCACACTCCGATCAACAAGTGATTTTGAAGAATCTGCGAGAAAGAAACAATCGCGCGTTAGAGATCACGGCTGATCGTCGGTGATCGATCGATCGATCGATCGATCGTCGTATCGACGAGATCGGTACGTCCTTACATGACCTCCGGCTCGCGTGCTGTTTTTAATCACGTTCGAAACTAGACCAAATATCTCCAGGCTTTTCTCAACGACGGTAATCGCCAGAGCGTCGTATTCCTCTTCCGCGGTTTTCGAAACGCTCGAGGCGCTCGTTTGCGTGGCAGCAGAGGTGGTGGTGGCGGCGTTAGCGGTGGCGGTGGCGGTGGCGGTGGCGGCGTTAGCGGTGGCGTTGGTGCTGCATTTCGGCGACACGGCGTTCGTTATGCCAACGATACTCGACGCGGTGGCGTACACGATCGAGCAATACAAACAAGACATTGTCAGCAAGGATAATTTCTCTAGTTTGCCCGGAGTTAGAGGTTCCAAGAAAGGCAAGGATATCACGTTGCGAACCAGGTTAACGTCGTTCGACACCGAATGTAAATTGTGACGTATAGCATGCGCGTCGGAGGCATTCACGGGCAAAGCGAAACTCTTTTTGTGCAAGTACGCCTGATATTTGCGAGCGTAGCACGACAAGTGAGGAAGGTTCAAGCACACGTCCAACAGCGTATCTCCCACGTCCATATTTCGCAGGATATTCACGTTGCTCGCAACGAACGTCGTCTGGAAAATAGAAACAACATTTTCAGAACAAACGCGTTCGACTTTTACACTCGCGTCGCAGACGTACGAACGGATACAGCGAATCGCAAGAATTTACTCGCGAATCGACAATCGGCGTCGACGAAATTTACAGACGCAACCTAACCTAGAACCAATCTAACCTAAACCAGCGTACGTTCCTGCCGATAATCACCGCGTCGTACACACGGATCGCAGGAACGGGACACGCTCGTTCTCGCGACTCGCTACGTACGCACGTCGTTACGTCGTTGTCGCATCGTCGCGTTACGCAACAGACGGAACGGGAGAGAAACCTTCACGTCCGAACGAATTTCACTCGCCGCGACGCCGTCGTTCGTCGTTTTAGCCTCGTTGGAAGGCAATTCGGCGACGGGCATCGGCGGCATCGTGGAACTTTGCAACGGCATCGTCAGTTGTTCCAAAATGCTACCGGACAAATCGCACTGTATTCGTTCGGAATCCTTGCAGGATCGAGCGGTGGTGTCGGGTTTCTCAGCTTCGGGGGACAGCCGCGACTGGACGTCGTGCGGTACGTTGGAACTTTTTATCGCAGCGACGAGGGCCGCTTCCTCGGTAGACGAAAGCAAAGATTGCCCCGTACAAAGAGCGAGTATCGGAAGTAACAGCTGTCTCGCAGCGAAAACGGTGCAACTTCCATTTCCCAATTGTTCTCGATGCCGAGACAACTTGTCCGCCAGCCTGAGAAGCAAAATTCTACACGCTTGGCAAACCACGGATATCTGAGTTTTAGAAACTGGAACAAAAAGAAAACGAAACACGAAGATGACGCAGGAGATACGTCGAGGAGAAAAACATCTCTCTCGTCGTCTCTCGCAACGACGAGGCGAAAATAACGTAAAACTTACAGGTATCGATGCAACTGCAGAAATAATCCGCCGCGAGCACCGCCACGGACGTATAAAAGGTTTCGTAAAGCTCCGCTTTCGACAGGAAGTCGTACTCGCTGAAAATCGCGAGAAAAGTCTACTTTAGAGTTGTCGCTTCGAACGTACGATTCTCTCTCTCTCTCCCTCTCTCTCTTTCTCTCACACACGCAAATACAGTTCTCTCGCGCGCACACACACAGTTCCGAGCGTAGACGACGGAAATAATTCGAAACCGTTCGAAAGAAAGAACGTTTCGAGTCTTACCGTACAACGATGCTCTTCGCCAATTCCAAGATATCATTTTTGTCGAACGAACCTCGCGACATCGCCAACAACGGTTTCGTTACTGCCGACCACGTATAGCTACCACGAATCTTGGTCGCCATTTTCGATCGCCAAACTGGCTTCGACTTTGTTCGAACGTATCCTCTCTCGTATTTCCTCGGCGGTACTCGAACCACGTACGTTTACGCGTTCACGCGCGTATACCTGGAACATATATCTCGCGTATCGTTACTCTCGTCCCCGCCGAATATTTCTCCGTCCTTCTTCCTGCTTCCGCGCTTCTTCCTTCTCCGATCACTCGACGCAGAACCTATCGCACTCGTGCAACTTTTAAACTGCGCGTACGCTGTCTAGATAGAATCACGTACACGCGCACACACGCGTGTCAACCGTACAAAAAAAAAAAAAGAAAAAAAAGATCGGAAAATTTATTCGAGAACAAAGGAAATCGAGGGAAACGCTCGATTTCGTACACGCACGCGTGCAACTCACTCGCAACGCCTTCTTTCGAAAAGTTTGAAACGCCGTTCGCAGCGTCGCTCGTACGTGCGTATCGGACTCGAAGAATTGCGCGTCGGACCTGAGGCGATTCTCGCCTAGCACGTATCTAGATACGCGCAACGCAACACCGTTGACCAAGGTCGTCAACGACAACAGGCTGGCAACCATTCGAACAGAAAAATCTCATCTCGCGCGAGATACGTCTCAAGATGGTTCGGCTATTTTAAATTACAACGAGACACGATCGTACGGTACGCGCAACGTACACGCGTTACCAACCGTGCAACGAAAAATTACCGCGAAGTCTGCTACGATTCGAGCGACGGCAAAGACGATCGACCGTTCAAACGTCTTTGCAATTTTTGTAAAATATACACGTACGCAGGAGATCGATACGACGAACCTCTCGCAACTTTGCACGTACGTATCTCGAGGAGACAACGTCGCGTTTGGCACGGTCGAGGAACAAGTTTGTCGATACCGTCGCTCAATCTTGCAAGTCTTTTCACTCGCGTCGCGTCGATTCACGGTTGATCTCTCCACGTATCTTTGACGAACTACGCGAGTTGCAACGACAAACGTCGACACGCACGCGCGTGTAAAAGTTGGCAATTCAGCGAGGTCGACGACTCGGAGGTTTCGGAGAATCTCGTCACCGACGAAAGTAAGAAGAATCGTTCGCGCGAAAAATAAACGAAACGGTCACACAGGGTTACAGGTAAGGGAGGCATCGAGCGACACACGTCTGCAAAGAGTATATTTTTTCAGCGCGATACAACGACGAATAGGTACAATCGATCAGGCGAGGCCGATGGCAACGAGCAGACGTCGACCGGTCCGTAGCTTAAACTTTTGCAAATTACGCGCGCGTACTTGGCAGAAGCAGCGCGCGCTCGGACTCGGATCGATCGGTTCGATCGTTTCGAACGACATTTATCTCCGCTTTCTTCGAAATTTCACACGCGAGTCGCAAAAACGAGAAGCGAAGCGAAGCAAAGCAAAGATCAAGTTGGTCGCTGTCAACAGCTTCGACAGCCGACCGTTGCCGTCGATAGAAAAGAGACAGGAGGCGAGACAGGAGGACGTCGCGATCGATCTATCGGCAAAGAAAATCGGATCCGAAATCTCGAGCGTTCCGTTTCCAAATTTATTCGTTCGTCTCGTTCGCTCGAAACTCGAAAGATCGACCCGACGATTTTCGCACGTCTTTTCTACCAACGCAGTCGTTCAATCGTCGACAATCGACGAAATCGAGAGAATTTAAAAATTTCACACACGCGCGCGCGCGAGAACAGGCAACGTATCGTCACAACACTCGTGCTTCGAGTCGAAGCAAGCGATCGATCCAAATTATCGGTTTCTTCTCAACCGGACGATCGTTGGGTTCGCAACAACAACAACAACAACGACAACAACAACAACAACAACGACAACAACAACAACTTTGCGTCGACACACGGTCCGTAAAAAACGGGAATCGG